GTGAGCCCGGTTTAGAATCTTGTGCAAGTGAGTTGCAAACCCTAACATGGCACGGGAAGGTATTTCGGCTCTTATCGGTGTAGGCGATATAAGGTTGGTGGTGCGGGTGTCACAACATAGACTGTTCCCTTGGGGCAGACCGTGACGTCACGACTCGGGTACGTAACCATGGTGCGTGGGCATCATTGGTAGTTACAGTAAGTAACATTTGAATATTTAACCAAGAGGGAGTCAGAATTGCCCGTGGCTATTACTTAGTGGTTGAGTGGAAATAGTGCTCCGCGGGAAGTTATTTAAACTTACCTGTTAAACTAAATCTATGTGACTTTAAAAAGAAAAGTGTGCATTTTCCTTATGATGAATCACTATTTCCATTTGCCATTTTTAGTTATTTATTTATTTATCTATCGTTATTATTTTAACTGTTGGCATTTCTGTTATGCTTATTAAATGCTGCTTATTATTATGTTATTACACAATATTTATTATTTATGGGTATTATTCTCGGGGTGGGTATTTTCGGGTTATAGTATCTTATTGAACTCGTCGCTCATTGGCATTCTCATTGCCTTGGCGTTTCATGCCAGGTACCGAAGAAACCGAAAGAAACATTGAGGTGTTAGAAGGCAACATTTAACCCTGGTTAGCTTGAAGCATGCCAAAACTTCATGAACCATTTTTTTTTTGAGTTGTCTAGTTTTTCTCTAGTTCTTTTTATATTTGTGTACTAAAAGACAAAGTTTAAGTTTGATTGGAGTTGTAATTTAAGAACTTTTAGTTTCCTTGTTGTAAATTAATGGATGATGGCAAATTTGGTGGCAACATTGATGAGAATTCTTAATTAAGAAAAGTGATTTTAAGTTTTAAACCTTATTATGACGTCCTCAAATTTTGGGGCGTCACAAGATAGGTCTTAAAACCGTTGATTGCATATTCATTGGTTATGCCATAAATAGTAGTGCATATCGGTTTTTGATTCATAAATCAGAACATTTCGAAATGCATGTAAATATTATTATTGAATCTTGGAATGCATCATTCTTTGAACATGTATTTCCGAATAAAACCGGACAAGAGATTAGTACCAATGAAAGATCTTATGATGCTATTCCTAGTCATGATCAAGGACAAGAGCAAGAGATAGATCAAAATGAGGAAGAGGAACCTACGCGTAGTAAACATGTTAGAATCTCAAAATCTTTTGGTGCAGATTTTCTAACTTTTTTGTTAGAAAATGAGCCTTTAACTTTCAAAGAAGCTATGTCTAGTCCTGAAGCTCCTTTATGGAAAGAAATTGTAAACAGCGAAGTTGAATCCATTCTGCAAAATCACAATTGGGAATTGGTGGATTTGTCATTGGGTTGTAAACCTCTTGGATACAAGTGGATTTTCAAGAGAAAAATGAAAGCGGATGGATCAATTGACAAATACAAGGCAAGACTTGTGGTCAAAGGTTTTAAACAAAAAAAAGGCTTTGATTACTTTAACACATACTCACCGATTACTAGAATAACATCCATTAGAATGCTAATTGCTATTGCATCGTTGTACAATCTAGAAATTCATCAAATGGATGTTAAAACAGATTTCTTAAATGGTGAGTTAGTTGAAGAAATTTACATGGAACAACTAGAAGGATTTTATGTTCTAGGAAAAGAAAAGAAAATATGTAAATTGGTTAAATCATTATATGGTTTGAAACAAGCGCCAAAACAATGGTATGAGAAATTTGACAAGGCAATAATGTCAAATGGTTTTCAAATTAATGAATGTGACAAATGTGTTTATATTAAAAACATAAACAAGTGTTATGTTATATATGTCTTTATGTGAATGATATGCTCATCATATGTTGTAATAATGGCATGATTAAAACTACCAAGAAAATGTTGAATAAACATTTTGACATGAAGGACATGGGGATTGCTGATGTAATACTTGGTATGAAAATTACCAAAGTATTAGAAGGTTATGTTTTGTCACAATCTCATTACATTGAGAAAATACTTGACAAATTTAGCAAAGATGATAATCATCTTGCTAGAACACCTGCGGATGTTAATTTGTTTCTTTCTAAGAATGTACATGAAATTATTTCTCAATTAGAGTATGCCCAAATTATTGGAAGCTTAATGTACTTGATGAACAACATTCGCCCAGATATTGCTTATGTAGTAAGTAAGTTAAGTAGATATACGAGTAATCTAGGAGTAGAACACTGAAAAACTATTATAAGGGTTCTAAGATATCTCCGATTTACTCGTAGCATTGGGTTAAATTATACTAGATGTCCAGCAGTACTTGAAGGATACTGTAATACAAACTGGATATTGGATACTAAAGACTCGAAATCTACCAGTGGGTATGTTTTTACTTTTGGTGGTACGGTTATATATTAGAAATCTTCCAAATAGACTTGCATTGCTAGGTCTACTATGGAATCAGAATTCATAACTTTAAATAAAGCTGGGGATGAGACAGAATGGCTTCGCCATTTCCTTGAAGATATTCCAATGTGGCCAAAATCGGTACCTGCTATTTGCATACATTGTGATAGTCAATCGGCAATAGGTAGAGCACAGAGTCATATGTATAACGGTAAGTCGCAACACATTTGTCGTTGACATAATGCCGTAAGATGACTACTCTCTAATGGAATTATTTCCATTGAATATGTGAAGTCTAAAGACAACATAGCGGATCCTCTAACCAAAGGGTTAGCAAGAGGGTTAGTTAAGAATTCATTGAGGGAAATAGGACTTAAGCTTATTACATAAGAGTTATCACAACGGCAACCTAACCTAGTTGACTGGAGATCCCAAGATTTAGGTTCAAAGGGACAACCGAGTTGGGTATAACTCGAAGGATCACTGGGGAGTCAAACTCCTATCCATTTCTATGATAAAATAGTGATATCTGCAGCGTTTTAGGTTAAATAATAATTTTAATGATTCTTATATCTAGGTATACCTAGTGAAGTATGGCAGGATATTCTTAATAAGAATCACCTATATAAATGTGAAATGGGCCGGTTCTATGAGATTTGTGAAGGGCTACAATTCTCTAGAGCATTCATGAAAGACCAGATTGTTCGGGGCCAAAATGAATACAATAGGGAGAACTAAACTGTGTCTGGTAATATACTATGTGAGTTCTATTGTCTTGATTTACACAAACGGCTGAAAAGTTCAAGATATCATATTCACTGGTTAGCTAGTAAATCCGATAGTATCTCGCGTGGGAAATTTCAAAGCCAAAAGCTACCTATCCTTTGCAGAATATTTCTAATTTCTGTACTCTCTGTATTTAGATTACGTTGTTGCATTTTCTCTTCGTCAAATTCCATTCATGTGGGGGATTGTTGGAAAGTATGGTTTTTATAGGCTTATTTTGGGCCAACTTTGAGCCCAAATTTGAGTGGGTCCCAAACGTCTTTTGGGGTGGGTTTAAGAGGTGACGTGTTCCTTACCGTGTGGCAAGTCACACGATGACAACGGTTCGTCAAAACCATTTATGAGTGAATGGGAAGTTGACGTCGTTTTCGGGTTCGTGGAATGGACAAATAAAGAATAAAATTTTAGTTTCTTTGTAAGGCTTGTCCTACATTGGAAACTTAAGAGAACTTATGTGAGTATATAAGTTTTAGGTGACAACACTTGAGTTGGGCCCCAATGAGCACGCCAAGTTTGTAGAAGGGAGGAGTTATGGACAAATTGAACCTTGGCTCAAACCACCACACACACGCGCTGCCTCCGCTGGCCGAGCCGTGCCGGGTAGGGGTGTGGGCTGTGGGTCGGGTCGGTTCTAACATTAATTTTTTGGACAAAATTTATTTGAATTTTTTCAAAAATTCTTGTGGGAAATTATTTAAATTTCTGAATAAAATTAATTTAATTTTTCTTGTCCAAACAATGCCCTTTTCCAGTCCATTTTCTAGCAAGTTCAATAGGTTCAAACTGTTCTAAACAGTTTGAAAAACTGCCCAGCAATTTCGGGCAATTTTAAAACTGCCAATAGTTAGCAGATCTGTCCATTTCGAAATTGTATTTGTTCAGATTGAAGACTGCATCTGTTTAGGGTGTTTTGCACTTGTTCAGACAGATCTGTAGGTCACCATTTGCCTATAAATACAAACCATTTCCAGTAGATTTCTGATTCTAAAAAATTCATTTTCTTGCCTTCATTTTGCTCTCTTGGATTATTATTCTTCATACTAGTTTTAGAGAAAAATTTAGAGAGCATAGAACACAAGTTTTGTTCGTCGTATAAATTGTTTGGAGTACTACTACAATTTGTGTAAAGATTATTGTATTTTTGGGAGATAGACGCCATTTATCTATAAGCACCGAAGCGAGGTGAATCTGTTTTAAGGACAGAGTGTCACACACTCAATTGTTGGAGGTGGAAATGGAGGCTAAGGTTAGGGTTGGAAAGGTTGAAGATTGGGGATATGTCTGGAATTTTACATAGAGATAAAATGGTAATAAAAAATATTTAGAAGTCAGAGAAAAGAAATTTGGAAGGCAACTCCTCCCTAGTCCACTATGAATTGGGGGATGTTGTTTGGGTGCATGAGATTTATCACTAATTTTATTTTAATAATTTAAATTATTTATTTGTCAATTATTTCATACATTTCATCAATAAAAAATGAAGTCGATTGATAATTATAACTTATTAAATTTATCACATTTATCACACAAAAAAATAAATTTTTTTCACAGGCATTACGCAAAATATTTGACAAAATAAACCATTTAAATAATTTAAATGAAATTCAGAGTGACGCCTCTTCAATTCAGATTATGGCCTAAAATAAAAAAAAAATTCCTCCCTCAAAATTTGATAGGATCAAATAACAGTAAATAGCTATTATTATTTAGAGAAATTTCAAATCAAGCTTGAAAAGATAATTAAAATTTGTAATTATATTTTAAAAAAATAAACTAAATTATAATTTTCCCTTATTATTTCTAAAGTGCAAAAAAAAAAAAGAAAAAATATATATATATACGAGGAGGAGGAGAAAGCAGTAGAAAGGATAAAGAAAAGAAAAAAGAGCTGCAAAATGAGTACGGTGAAAGCGGTGGCTGTCATCACCGGCGACCCCACTGTTAGAGGCAATCTTCAGTTCGTTCAGGACTCTCAAGGTCTCTCTCTCTCTCTCTCTCTCTCTCTCTCTCTCTCTCTGCTGTGCTATTTCTTGTATGCGTTTGGTTGGTTCATTACTTGCTCATCAATCCCCAGTCTACTCTTTTGTTGATTTTGTATATATATAGGAGCAACCCATATCAGAGGGAAGATAAGCGGCCTCAGTCCAGGCCTTCACGGCTTCCATATTCACTCCCTCGGTGATACCACCAACGGCTGCAATTCCACCGGTCACTTTTCCCATTTTTTTTTTTTCAAAGCTTACCCACAACACAACATGTTTGGCTGTTATATTCAAATTCCAATTAGAACTTTGCTCTTGTATGAATCATGAATGAGTTCTGTTTGTTGGTTGTTGGGGGGGTTGATTGAGGTTCCTGATTTGATGAATTATTTATAATAGCAGGACCTCATTTTAATCCATTCAAGAAGGATCACGGAGCTCCTTCTGATAAAGAGCGTCACGCTGGAGATTTGGGTAATATTGTTGCTGGCCCAGACGGTGTGTGTTTTCACTTTTTGTTACTCATCATTGCTGTTATTGATATTATTATTTGGAGTGGATTCATTGAATAGCCTATACTTGTGTTTCCATGTTTCAGGGGTTGCAGAGATTTTCATTAAAGATATGCTGGTATATTAAGAGCAATTTTCTTCATTCCAAAATTGTTACTTTTTGTTTCATAATGATGGCGAAAAGAAAGAGGATTTAATTGATGTCATATTCTATTAATTTGATTATTGACCTACTACACACAGTAAGTAAGGGATTAACTTGTTTCAATTGCTGCGGGAAAAAAATGTAGTTTCAAATGCCATATAGAATACTATTTTAAATCTCTCATTTTTCCATGGTATGGAAAGCTTTGATTTGCTGGAATTATGTGTGTGCACCTTGTTTTCAAATTTGTAGATTCCGCTACGTGGGCAACATTCCATATTGGGGAGGGCAGTAGTTGTGCATGCAGATCCTGACGATCTTGGGAGAGGTATGTGGTTCATTCTTTGCATCTTATGTCATATTACAATGCCTAAACTTGAAAGCAAAAGCAATACTTCCCAAGTATGTATATTTACTTGAGAGATTAAATGTGTGGGGAAATGTGGTACCAAGCACCTGTTATTCTTGGGTCAAAGAGCTAAAGATATTTGAAGTGGATTTTATTATTATTATTATTTTTTGTGGTCTTATCATGGAAGGGGATTTCAATAGGACATTAAAATGCATCAAATTGGTTGTACTTGGGAAATTTTAATCTGAGTGAAAGAGCAGATCTATCTAGTAGGTGGGCTATGTTGATAGAAACTGATACTTTAGCACAAGTGGAATTATATGAAAGGCACATAATAACTCAGTTTCTTGCCAATATTATTAATCCTCTCCACAGCTTGCATCAACTTCGTTTTTAAAGTAGTTCTGTTCTTGATACACCCCCGGAATGGTTGCAAATGATGCTAGTCTTGTGTGCTCTTTAGTATTTATGCAACAGTTCTTGAAATCTAAAGATAAGTTAAAAAGAATATGGTGAGAAAAAAGTTGGGATATACATGTCGGTTCTAGCATTAGTGGACTTAATGTCACTTGAAGTTACTATTCTCTCAATCTTAAATTTCTCTCCTTGCTTTGCGATCTGATTTGGTAACCTCATGTGCAAACAAAAATATTGTCTTCATTATCTTGACTGATTAATGAATTTTATTGGTTAATATATTAGAAAAATAATATTTGAATGACTGAAAGGAAGGTTAGTGACTCCTGGAGGAGGCAACTACTGTTCTCTAGCCAGAAGAAAGGGTTTTATGTCTTGGGAGACTGTTAGTGATACAATAGTGAATCAGATCTTTCAACTGGTCTCCAAACTCCAAGGTTTCCTTGTAGTTGGAGAGTAATTTGCTGATCTTTCCGTATTGGCATCATGTCTTCTGACTGGCCAGTCTCGACAGTTTTGAAACATTAGAATTTGTAGATGAAATATGTCTCTTTTGTGCAACTTAAGTTTCGTCTCTGCTCATGGGTGGATCTTATGCTCATTAGCCCAATTGCAAGAGTTATATTATGTTACGAGAAAGAACTGTTTTTTCGGAGTTTATAGCTGGATGCTTAAAAAGTAGAGTATCATTTTAAAATTGTTATCCTTCTTCTTCATCATTCACCAACAGAATGGTTGGTGATTACTTCCTTTTGGTACTCAGCCTTTGAATTGCTCAGGGAAAGGGGAAACATTGGCTGCTTTCATCTTTAGTCCAAATGTTATTTCTAGTTTCCTGCTCGTCTGTGCTGTGTGTGGGTTTAAAAGTGGGAATTGTAAGGTATTGATTGTCTAAGTGGTTGTGATATTGCCTTTGTAGCAGCAGTGATTGGGTTTTATCTAATTGTAACAATTGATGCAACAGGTGGACATGATCTTAGCAAGACAACAGGAAATGCAGGTGCAAGAGTCGGATGTGGTAATGACCTTTATTTTCTTTATTCTAGCTTTTGGTGTCATGTGCTATTTGTTTTCTTGTGCTGACCGATGCTAGGTACCAGTAGGATAACCCCCAAAAATATGATGCAAATGAAACAAAAGGATGATCTCACTAGATGACTATTTAGATCTATTGAGTAATTTGATCTCTGCTCCATTAAAAAACCAAAATAATAGTCAGCCAAGCAGCCTTGCAAGGGTTGATTATACAACATAGATATAGATATTTATTTCGTAGAACAGTCAAGTTATATTATATGAGCAAGTTGTACCTCATCTATTTGCTAGACAAGAATAAGGGACTTACGGGTTGAGGGACCAATCAATTACCACCAATATATATATATGCTTTCTTACCAAGCAGCGCCAAGAACAAAGATGTCGATTGTAATCGCAATTCAAATAGATCCACATGGGTGTGAGCCGGAAGGTGAGATTTGCAAGCCATATTCTGTATTTTTGTGTTTCTAATTTCTGTGTGCAATGGAAATAGCATAGAAGGATTTTTCTATCTTTAGCATTCTGACACTTGACAATTATCATCCTATTGTCTAGTGCCAAAAGTGGAAAGAAATAAAAAGCAAATTTAGGAAAGTTTCCAAGTGTTAAAGTGGAAGCTTTCTACCTTAACCCTATCCTCAGATTGTATTGACCTTAGGAAGACAGATTCTGTTTGTTAAATCCTTTTTTGTTGTTTTCTTTTTTCTGCCTGTAGGACGAAGCCTAACATTTGTCACATCTGTGTTTGGCAGGTGTCATTGGGCTTCAATCCTCGGTCTAGTGTCAATTGCTCTCATATGTTTCATACAATTTACTTGGATACTTTGTACAATCATGTCAGATGTCTTAACCCTCATATCATCTCGCAAAAAATAATAATAAAATTTTTACATGGATAGTAAGTTGAAATTTTGTTGGAGACTTATATGGCCAAAGAGAACCTTGTTTGGAATAAGTAAATGCATGAAACTTGAAATTTCTTCTCAATTGCACTGTTGAGGAAATTTATGGAGGATTGATATTGTTTGTGATGTTTTTCATTCTGCACCTTTTGGGCATGTATGTTTCATGATTACTGGGATAAGGCTTTGTTGATGAATGTTGCAACCTAATCTCAAACGGGCTTGTGAATTTGTTGGAAGTTGACATTATTAGTTTGGTGGATTTTGTTGCATGAAAGGGGTTAGGGAGGTCGGTCTTTGCTCAATTTTGAAGTTTTGACATGGCAGTGAAAACTTCTCCTCCTTTATTGAGTTACCAAAAGGCAACATGTAACACTAGACTATTACATGCTTCCCAACTTGGAGATTCACGAGACACTGAATCATACTTTTCTCAAAGCTGATGATTGAATCACAATTCAAAAGAAACGTTACTGATTTTCAATTTCAAGTTTTTTAGAGTCCTAAACATTAAGGCTAGGTTTGGCATAACCTATATAATCTATCTTTTTTATTTTTTTTCCGTCACATCACATCACCCGTAAAAAAACAAAAAGTGTACTTTTTTAGGATACCCCAAACCAACCCTAATTCTCTCAAGATATCCCAGTCATGAAATGGAAAAAATAAAATAAAAGTAACAGTACAGGACATGGAAAAGAACCAACCCTCAATCTAAAATTAACGGATGAGATCAACGGTTGGCAAAACCAATGCAGACCACAAGTTACAATACCTTTGCACATTCTAAAATTAAACAGATAAAACCAACAGATTTAAGTCAGGAAGAGTAGGTAAAATGATAACATCATGTTATATATCTTGGGCACATATATCAACCAAGATACGCCATAGGTTGCTAGGTCCTATCACAGGGTAAACTGATTGTGAATATGATCCCATGACAGATGGATCAACAAAGTGCTCGACTCTGCAACTTCTGTTTTGCCTAGCTCGATTGGCAAATCAAGCACATCCCTATCCTCTTAACCAAGTGTTCCTATACGATGACTTGTCACGCAGAGATGCATCATGGGCCTTGTATTCCATCACATAGCTGTAGGGAAGCTTTAAGTTCCGCTTTATTGCATCTCTCAAAGCCATCACAGCCTGGTTAAAGATCAAGCAAGGTCCATTATTACACACTTTTTTGGCTTAAATTTTCGAAATAAACAAGTAACGCCAGCTGAATGATGGCAAAAACTGACCTGATGATCAGATGCATTGCGATTCCACACGCTCAATATGTCCTCATTGAACCGAATGCTTAGTACAACACCACATATGTTGTCACGATAATCAAGTTGGTCACCCACTAATGCTAGAACCTACATGTATATCCCAAATAAAAATAAATTACTTCAAATTCCCATGACAAGCAGAGGAGTTTTCAGGGGTAAAATTTTAAACATGTTTAACTGATCCTGTGCTCAGTCTAAACCATTTTGTGCACAAAAAAAATTACTAGTGCCCAAAAATGAATAAAGATCACATTTCATATTGTTGGCAAGCAACCTACATTCATTTCTGCTATGTAGTTCCATCCCATGATATAGTGTACAATATTCGAAACATAGATGAAAATAAGGACTTCCTAATACAAATCCTGGTTTCCAGTATTTGGACTGTATTCCCAACATTTCCTCTCCAATATGAATTCAGCATCTAAATAAAAGAAGATTTAAAGAACAGCAGCAGCATAATGCATCTAAACTTGTGGTTTAATAATTGACAATAGAAGTGTTTCATTAATCGAACACCAAAACGATCCATATGGTCCGACTATAAAGGTTTTATTTAAGGTAAACCTCCCACAACCTTCTGTTTCCACGTTTTGGCTGGATGGTTTGAAGTTTAAATGTGTGATATAAATAGAATCAAGGTTAAAATACAGAATACAACTTCACAACTAGGAATGGGATTGGATTCTGAAAATTGATTACCAAGTGATACACACAAGTGAATACATTCTCTATCTTGAATTGATTACACAACAGGAAAAAAGAATTAGAGCATTATTGAGAAGCTATTGATGGACCACAACTGCAAACAAGACGAGAAAACATTGTCTTAAAATGGTACAACCACCATGCACCATAACAACAGATGAATGCACTAATGACAGAGTGTTTAAACTGACAGTGCCACATGGAAATAGTGATCTAAAACGTTGAAAATGATAAAAATTGTGAATACCAATGAGAAAATTATATGATATTATACTCTATGGAACATGGCCATCAATAAAGCGGAATAGCAAAAAAAAAAAAAACAGTGGATCTGAAGCTCTGCTGTGAATACCTGTTAACTAAAACTTGGTACAATAACATATAGTATTGAATCACTTATTTCTAAGAGGCAATAAGACCAATTATTATCTCACTTTCCAAAAACAATAAAAGGAAAAAACTAATATAACTTTTATGACAAAAATGTTGTAATTATTAGAAGAAGAATGATGACGAAGGGAAACCACCAATGTATACAAAGAAGAAGAGAGAGCACACATCTATACTTAGGGGTTGTTTGGGGTGTCTTAAATAAGTTCACTTTTTGGACTAAAAAGTTGAGGAAAAAAATATGAATGTTTGGGTTAACTTTTTGACTTTTTATGAAAAAATGTGTATTAAAAAATTGTATAAATAAGTGTGTAGGAGAAGATAGGGTAGGAGCCGTACGGAATGGCAGTGGTGACTGGCTGGGTGAGTAGATGAGAAAATATTGTCTACTTCTCGGGCTTTGATTGGATGGTGTTGTTTGGCCCGTGGGGGCCCACCACGGGTCCCGTTTTTCTAATCGGAACCGTTCAATGTGTAGAACCCATCGAGTACTACATGCTTATAAAAAATCACGTTGATTGGATATCGATAACTATCTGATCGTGTTAGTTTTCTTTGTCAACTGTTAACTATAATACCATCCAATTTTTACACAAAACTGATTTGATCATATAGTTAATGATATCCGATAGATTTGATTTTTTACAGGCATATAGTACTAGACGAGTTCTACATATTAAACGGTTTGAATTATCAAAACGAGACCCATGATGGGCCCCCACAGACCCAACTTTACCATGCAAATAAGTGAACGTACACATGTTATTATTTTTTGTTTTTCCTTTCATTGCAGGTGGCTAACGTGTCCGTACGTTGATGGGTTGGTTGGATTGGATTGAACTTTATATTAATTTACCATTTAAAATAATATTTGTATATTATTTTTCTAATTATTTTTTTTTTTTTGTGAATAGTGATAACTTTTTAACTTTTTTGATAACTTTTTGACTTTTTCAAGAGTTGCCAAACTAGCCCTTAAACTGTTCTACATACCGATATAAAACTTAATAGTATCCACACAATCCAAAAAGGGAATCAAAAGAAGGGCACCCTTCCTATGACAAACAAACACACCCATAAAAATAAAAATAAAAATAAAAATAAAAATAAAAATCATAAAATATCTAATTTCCTTAAATGCGGTGGAAGCTCAATATCATACTATAAAAAAATTAAATTATGGTGGATGTGTTAAAAGGGGTCGTTTCATTAGAAGATGTAAAAGTTTTCAATACTTCTAAGAGGGCTTCAACCCAAGCCTTTAGTATGATGTCCAAGAGACATCACCAACTAAACTCAGTAGCCAAAGGAAGTAGGCATCGTCATAGATTGAAATTGATAAGCTCAGCTGCAACTAATTCTTGGCGAGGGTTTGCATCCAATATCAAACAAGTGAAGCTTCGACTCAAGATATAATAAATATGGACTCATAGCTGTTTAACTCTACACACCCTAGGAGTAAGTAACCCTGGCCTCGTTTAGAAATATGCTATTTTAGTAACTTTTTGACTTTTTACGAAAAGATGTACAAAAAAGTAGAAAGTGGTGTGATAACTTATAGGCCCTGTTTGGCACAACTTATTTAAGCTTTTAGCAAATATTAAGCTATTTTAGAGTGTTTGGTACAACGGCCCCGTTTGGTAGAACTGTGGAAAAGTGATTATAGCTTATAACTTACCAGCTTATAGCTTATAATTGTGAACATAAGCTGATTTTTTACTTATAAATTAAGCTTCTCCTCCCCCACTCAAAGAATAAGTTGATTTTTGACTTACAAAAAGCTATAAGCTGTATTGTTAAGCTGAACCAAACACATCAAAATAATTTAAATTAAGCTAAAAGCTGAAATAAGCTGGAAATAAGCTCTACCAAACAGGGCCAACTTATCAAAACAACTTATAGCTTAAGTTAAGCTATTTTCAAGTTATTTTCCAAAACAGCTCTGGGGTGCTTAACAAATTCGACTTATGCGAGAAGCTAGTAAGGGAGGCTAAAATGACTTAAATGCCCCTCCTCAAATTCGATTATTACCAAATACCTCGTATATAAACCACACTCTTACATTGTTCACTCTGAGAGAGGGAGAGAGAGAGAGAGAGAGGCAATTTCCAGCGAGTGTGGCGATTTCCAGCGAAGGTCTTACGTTTCTGGCAAACGTCTCTGTCTTTTGCTCTCTCTCACTCTCTCTCAATTGACCTTCCGCCGTCGCAATCACAATTGAGGGGCAAAATCCTAACCATCGCGATCGATTTGAAACCCTAGAGCCGCTGATGACGATTTGAAACCCTAACGCCGCCGATGATGATCTGAACCAGAGTTCTCTCTCTCTCTCTCTCTCTCTGGCGTGAACCAGAGCTAGCTCTGTGAGCTCTCTCTCTCTCTCTCGATCTGACGATGGAGGCTGCCGGCTTAGGGTTTTGCAAAACCCTAACCGTGTGGCAGATCTCTCTCTCTCTCGCAGATCTCTTTCTCTCTTTGCGATCGTACCCTATCCCCCATCATGATCTAGGTGAAGCTCCTTTTCCAGTGAACCAGAACTCTCTCTCTCTCTCTGGCGTCGGAGCTAGGTTTTCAGTGTTTTTTTAATAATAATAATAATAATAAAGCATTTTAATCCATTAATGAAATAAATTTTATATTAATTGATACTAATTAAGCCATTAATTGATAATAAATTAAATTAAAAAATATTAATAAATTGGTAAATTTTGTAACAATTTTGTAATAATAAATAAAAAAATATAAATTGGTATTTGTAACAATTTTTAATAAATTAAAAAAATATCAATTAATATTCATGTATTTATAAACCAAAATGAATATAATCTGAAATTTTTAATTGGTATTTCAGCATTTGTCAAAATTTTCTCATGATCAATCTCACCATGCATGTACCACTTCTAATTTGAAAAAATAAACTATAAACTAAAGAAAATAAAATAAAATAAAGAAAAAGAAATACGGAACAAAAAAATTAATTGTTAATATTAATCGATACTAATTAATAATTTTAGTATTAATTGAGACTAAGGCCAAGTTTGGGAAGACTAAATAAGTGCACTTTTTGACTTTTTATGAAATATGGGTTAGATTTGGGTTGGGTTTGAAGTGATGTGTTAGAGAGGTGATGTGACTTAAATAAGATGATGTGACTTAAATAGGATAGTGACTTTTTGACTTTTTAGATTTTTTGGAGGATGCCAAACTTGGCCTAATTAAGCAATTAATTGATACTAATTAATTTATAATGGAAAAAAATTGTTACAATAATACTTCCATTACATTTTTCTCAAATGTATCAATTTTTATATTAATTGATACTAATTAATAGTAATTATATTAACTTTTATTAATGAAATAATTTTTTAAAATTAAAACTAAAAAAAATGACAAAATTATCATTTTTATATCATATAAGGGCAAAAAAGAAGATTATATAGTAAAAAACTATTTTATAGCTTATCAACCAAACACTACTCTGCTGCTTAAATTCATAATCTCACCGCTACACCAAACAGGTTAACAGCTTATGTTTACAGCTATAAGTTATAATCTGTTAAGCTATAATCTATAATCACTTTCCTACAGCTCTATCAAACAGGGCCATAGTGACTTTTTGACTAAAATTAAAAGTTTCTAAACGAGGCCTTAGTTCTTATGTTGCTAGTATTGCTTTTTTCCATGTGACCCCTTCTATAGGTTGTTAACAGAAGCCCAACTGCGGTGACAAGTTTTTTGAATGATTTTCTTGGTCCCAAATCAACATAATCTCATGCTGATGACACCAATGCGGGGGCATAAAAAAGTGTGACCCAATGCATGAGGTTCCTACTAAAACAGGGCCTGGAGAGGGTAATATGTATGCAGTAGTAACCCCATTTCCAGAGGAGGTTTTCATGACTCAAACCTGCACCACAAAAATGCTAAAGAAAAGTAACCGTTAGGGCCAAGCTAACCTTAAATATTAAGGGGCATGTGAAACTTAGATATTATGTCCTCATATGTCTCAACTCAAACATCAAAATTTTACAGACTAGTTAGGTTGGGAAAAAGATTGTAAACCTTGATTTTAGCATCAGACAAACTAATATTTCAAATCAAAGGAACATAACCCCTAAAACTTATGATTTTGGAAGATAGGTTCAAATTAGGCAACAGGAAAAAAAATACAAAATTTGCAACTGCTCCAAAATTTAGCCATGTCATGTCACCAAATATTTACTATCTGTCATCAAAATATACTATATTGCCAAGAATCATTGCAAAATACCCAAGGGAATGGAAAAGACTAGCTAAAAACATTAAATACATTATCATCCAAGGAAAGTTTTAAGATGCTTTTTCCCTTACCAGATCCTCCCAAAAGCGACCTGAAACAGCCTTTTTGAACCGTATTATCCACTTGCCACCATTGCAGTTGGCAGAATCCTGATAAAAAACACATTCCAACAGAAGTAGCACATTATGTTGAGGTCATACTAAAGTAAATTATTTATTGGACGGGGGAAAGGGTGGTAGAAAGGAACCAAAGAAGAATGGATAAATATAATTTTTCTTTTTCTTTGATCAATACTCATCATTAATTAGCACAATTAAATACATCATAATCCCATCTACTTTAGGTTGTCTTCCCCTCCACTTAGCATTTCCATTAACAATGACCATATTCCTCTTTATTACATGAACTAAATCATCTTGGTCATTCTCTCTCATCTTATCTTCAATTGGTGTTACTTCTACCATTTCACAAATATACTCATTTCTAATTCTATCTTTTCTAATCTTCCCAAATACCCATCTTAGCATCCTCATCTCAGATACAATCATTTTGATTAATGTATTGATAGAGCGAAATGACAAAAAAAGTATTCATCTAGCCAGCCCCAATTGATTGGGACACAACTTTTGGGTTGGTTTTACATCTAATCTTACCTCCCACAGTGGGCGAATTCCTTCCTTGAAAAGATGCAAATCAGTTGGGCTAGGCAAAGAAGAGGGACGAGCCAAATGGCAATAACATACCCAAAAAGCTTCAACCTATACACAATTAATGTTCAGATGTAAGATCAACCTATTGAACCAAGATACAAAAATCAAATTAAGGCAAAGGCCATGGATCTCATTGCAACCACATTAAAGCAAAGCCAAATCTTACCGTACTAAAATCCACTATTTTCTTTATATTGTCTTCATATGATGTTTGAGTTCGAACTCCAGGTGTTCGACGAGTGTACCAAAAAACAAACTTGTTCTGGTCACAGAAACATTGTGCCAAGATAAGTGGCACTATCAGCATATTCACCATAAAATAGATGAAATACAAAAAAACCACACAAGTGCATAAACATATAGTCAATTGTTTCTATCATTCATTTTAGTAAATATTATACAAAGATTAATACTGATTTGTTCAATTGTTTCTATCATTCATTTTAGTAAATATTATACAAAGATTAATACTGATTTGTGTTGATATTTTAGTACAAGAACTCAAGTTTGAGCAGAGAAGCACAGACACGATATTGACATGCAAACATGGCAATTTTCACAACAAATAATAATAATAATAATAATAAATAAATAAATAAATAAACTAAAATAAAATAAAATGCCACAACATAACAACAAATAAATATACATTTTTATGCATATGCATGAAAATAGAAAGAGCAAAAGGTGCTAATACTTGTTTTAAATATCTCTAAAATTAGAATATAAATCAACAAGGACACAAGGTGTAGCTTGATTTGGTTTGTAAGTTATTGGCATTAGAAATTCTAAAATTAGAAAGTCTAAAGGAGGAGGAGGATTGAATAGGTATAAAACAACATTATTACTTTTATTTGATCATTAGATCCAAACCATTTTAGCCAACTTTTTTTCTTTCAAAATTGGAATAACATTGATGAAGTAGAGCATTTTGCTAGTCAATTAACTATTGATCCATTGTGTTCCTCCCTTTATGCTTTGTTTGGTTGGGAGATTTGGGAAGGAATTTAGAAAGGAAAAGAAAAAAAAGTCTGTGAAACTAGGTGAAATTCAGGCATGTTTTATTTACATTTCACCTAACTTTTTCATTTCCCTTTCCAAATCCCTCCTCAAACCCCCAACCAAACAGAGCATTAGAGGTGCATAAGCATAGCTCAACCAGTCACCAGGGGAAGCAGATTTTGAAATCACAGAGTTCCACCGGAGGGGGAGGGAGAGAGATTGGTCAGTTTCTGGTTCCGTTCCTTGGGCTGAATCCGATATGCACTTTGGTTCCATGAACAATAGGAAAAAAACCTAATAAGTCTATTACCAAATGGATTTCAAAATTAATTTTCAAACTAATTTATATGTATGTCACATAAATCATACCATACCACAAAACAAACAACGAGACACTGAACAACAAGAATTGAAGAGAAAGAGGCATGTGTTTATAATATAATATATATATATAAATACAGAGAGAGAGAGAGAGCGACCTTGAGAGGGTGCAAACCAGCTTTGAGGTCGCGAGCTTGGCGTTCGCGATCTTCGGACTCTTTATCGGCAGTAGCAGTGGGGTTGGGATCGACCACTGATTGAGAGTTAGGGTTTGAGGAGATCTTGTTGTCGGATTCCTTCTTCTCTGCTACCAATTCCATTGAGCTTCTACTCCCCCCAAACAAACCCTAGTCCCCTATCTCTTTCTCTTCTCACCTCTGCTCTGCTCTCCTGGCTTTGTTTTTCACGGACCCAACAGCACAAACCAGTTTCGATACAAACAAACAAACAGTGGATATGATATCGGGCTTATTATTATATGAAGTCCGGTTTTATTTACCGACTTGGCTGTTTTGGGTCTGGGCTCGTCTCCGGACACCGTGGGCTTACACCACCCTCACATCACTTGTTCTTTAATTTTTTATGTCTCCATATATACGTCATTGATATAAAAAAAAAAATTAATTTGATTTAATAATTATAATTATATAAATGTATAATTTTTTTTTTATTTTTAAAAACAAATATTATAAGATCATATATACTATTACAATTATCAAATTAATTTATTTTTTTAAAACAATTTATGCAAAGTAACTTTAAAAAATTAGGTGGCTTTGCATAAACTAATAAGTACGCACTTTTTATCTTTTTTGAATCACATCACCTCTCTATTTTTCTGCATATCTTTTCATAAAAAATCAAAAAGTACACTTATTTAAATCATCTCAAATCATCAAAGATTATGGTAGCCCACTAGTTTGGGCAGGATGGTCTATTTTTTAATGATGTATTTGATTTATAAATTTAGATAAAAATTTAAAAAGAAAAATAAAAAATTGTGATAAAATGTGATTAAAAAAAGTAAGGACGGTCTAATTTTTTTATATTCTATTTAAATTTTATTTATTTATTTATTTAAATCTTTTCTTAAATTTATAAACCAAATACATTTGAAAATCACCGTTTAAAGTTAATTGTTTGATACATTGTGATATGCGGTTTGTGATTATTATATTAGTATCCAACATTCTGAAAACTTATAAGATTTAAGATTTATAATTGCAATACATATGGCCCACTTTATTAATGAAATGTTAGTCGACTTAGCCACCAAGGATTAAATTTTTAACTAAATTCTTATACAATTAGCCAGTGTTGTATATTTCCATTTTAGAAATCGAGAGTCAACCTTTACAGATCACAAAGATGATTACTTCTTTTCCATTAAATAATTACTAGCAAAAAGAATAAAATAATATATTATTTAATAAAATATAATAATTATATTTAATTTTTTATATATTGTAAAATAAATGTTAAATAGAAACTAATCAATTAAGATTTTCTTAATTATTTAAAATTAAGAAAATTTTAAAAAATAGTATGAAATATTAATCATAAAGTTTTTCACTAAAAATCTCACTTTACTTATATAAATAGAAATATAAGATTCATTTTTTTTTCTTTTCTTTTCTCGATATGAGATTAAATGAAAGCTATCTAATAGGAATTTTCTTAATTGTTTAAAAGTTAACAATTGTTTAGGTGAGAAGTTTATTTCGAATCAAACAATTTTAGCCGTTTAATCTTTAATTAGGTAAACCTTTAATCAAACCAGTATATTTTGACAAAACTTTTAAAATTACAGTTAAACCAGAATCAATCAAACCGAAAACGGTTCACCCTATCGGCTAAGTTAAATGACCAATCAACTTATACAAAAATTAATTAATTAAAACTTTTAAATTTTATTTTAATTTTAAAATTTAAACTGTCTTGAACTGAAACATACACAACACTACAATATTAAATGAGAGCATAATGTTTATGTAGTGAAACAACTCATTTTTTCTCGTTTTCTTGATGTGAGATTATAAAATAAAAGTTAATAGTTATTTGGACGGGAAGTTCATTTCTAATTAAGCAATCTCAGTCGTTCAATTTTTAATAAGGTCAATCTTAGTTTATTTCAAATCAAACAAATTTAAGTAATATATTTTGATAAAATCGCGGTTAAATCAACAAATCAATCAAATAAAAAATGATTTAGCCTAATAGGCTATGTCATAATTAATTAATTAAAACTTTTAAAATTTAAACTATATTGAATTGAAACACGCATAATGCTACAATATTAAATGAGATGGGAGTATAAGATTCACTTTATATAAATAAATTAATTCATTTTTTTTATTCTTTTCCCGATGTAGGATTATTAAATAAAAGTTAGCCAATGGAGATTTTTTTAATTGTTTAAAATTAAGAAAATCAAGAAAATTAGTATGAGATATTGAAACTCTCACAAGGCTTCTCACTAAATGGGATAAGAGTATAAGATTCTCTTTATACGAGTAAAACAATTCATTTTCTTCCTTCTTTTTCCGACGTGGGATTATCAAATAAAAACTATCCAATGGAGATTTTCTTAATTATTTAAAATTAAGAAAATTAGTATGAGATATTGAAACTCTCACAAAGCTCTTCACTAAAAATATCATTTTCCTTATATAATAGATAGATAGATAGATAGTGAAACAAATTTTGCTTTTTCTTCTTCTCCCGATGTGAGATTATAAAATAAATCATAAACTAATTAAAATTTTATTTTTATATGGTTAAATAGAAGTTAGCCAATGGAATTTTTTTTAATTGTTTAAAATTAATAAAATTAGTATGAGAATTTGTGATTAAACCGACGGATCGATCAAACCTAAAATGGTTCAGCCTAATCAGTTAAGTCAAATGACCAACCAACTTATATAAAAATTAATTAATTAAAACTTTTAAATATTATTTGAATTTAAAATTTAAATTGTCTTGAACTGAAATATACACAATACTATACTATTAAGATTCACTTTATATAAGTGAAAAAACTCACTCTCTTTTTCTTTCTTTTTTTCTATGTGGAATTATAAAATAAAAGTTAACAATTATTTGAACGAAAAGTTTGTTTCTACTCAAGCAGTCTCAGTTTTTCAATCTTTAATCAAATCAATTTTTAATTTATTTCAAATCAAACAAATCAATATATTTTGATAAAACCGTTAAAATGGCGGTTAAACCAACAAATCAGTCAAATCAAAAATGATTTAGCCTAATCGGTTAGGTTATAATTAATTAATTAAAAGTCTTAAAATTTAAATTATATTCAATTGAAACGGGCACACTACTACAATATTAAATGGAATGGGAGTATAGGATTCATATTATATGAGTAAAATAACTCTTTTTTTTTCTTATTTTTTCAATTTGGAATTATCAAATAAAAACTAGCTAATGGAGATTTTCTTAATTGTTTAAAATTAAAAAAATTAATAAAATTAGTATGAGATATTGAAATTATCACAAGGCTTCTCACTAAATAGGATGTGAGTATAAGATTCCCCATATATGAGTAAAACAATTTTTTTTTTCCTATCCCCATGTGAGATTATCAAATAAAAGCTAGTCAATGGAGATTTTCTTAATTATTTAAAATTAAGCCTTCGTTTGGCATGCCAAGCTTTTTGGCTTTTTGGCTAAAATAGTCACAAAAAGACAAAATAGATTTTTTAACCCAATAAGACAAAACATCACAATTAAACCATAATCATTTCATTTTTTTCTCACAAAAGTAAAAAAAGCCTTTCAGCCCCAGGCTAAAAAAGTCAAAAAGCTAACCCACATCTCAAATAAAAATCAAGAAAATTAATATGCATTATTGAAACTCTCGTAAGACTCCTCATTAAAGACACATTTTTCCTTATATAATATATAGATAAGTGTTTGTTCATTTATTTTTTAAGTTTAGACTTCTTCTTTTATTTATTTATCTATTTATTTTTTGTAGTAGTAGTAGTCGTTGTGGTCGCCATAGGGGTGGATAAACGTCAGGTTAGATTGGTTTTGGGTCAGGTCGACACTGCATAATAAGAAATTTTATGTCTGTCCAAGTTTGGCCTGATCCTAACATCGGGCTTCTATATCTATCCAAATTCATTTTAAAAAATAACTACAAATCTCAAGCCCACTCATTAAGTTATATGTTTTAAAAAAATTAAAACATTTCGCAATCAAATTAAATCACACATCACCACAAATATGAGTTTAAATAAAATTAACAAAAATAAAAGTGTAGATCACAAAAATATATATATTTTTAATGTATTATAAATAAACAGCAAGTCAGGCCGGGTTGAAAATATAAATTTCAAGCCCAACTCATTAATATTTTAGGCTAAAAATGTTAGTTCAACCCAATTTTGTAGACTAAAATAACATTTCCAAGTCTTAGAAAAATATGACTAAGTCGGATGGGCTGAATGAACTAACGGACTGATGTCCACCCCAAATAATAGTAGTAATCAGGATTAATAGTCATTGTATTTTTAGCTATACCTTATTGAACTCTAATGTAATTATTCTTCTCTTTAGAATTAATCGCCTATCAATTGAAAAAATAATAATAAAATCAGAAATGTTAATTTTAACCTTATTGTCTCTGCCTCTATTTGCGAAGTGGATTGACTTTTTGACTTTTTTGACTTTTTTTTGTGCAACTGTGCTAAAGGCCTTCAAAAGAGGCGCGAATTTGCCTCGAAATATTTTTTTTTTTGGCTATGTTGGTTTGGTTTTGGTTTTTTTTTTTTTTTGGGAATGGTTTTTATGTGTACCCTAAAACCTAAACCTTAATAAAAAATAAAAAAAATCAAACCAACATAGCCCAACAAATAAAATAAAATAAAAAAAAACAAACCAACATAGCCTAACAAATAGAAAAAAAAAAAAAAAAAAAAAACAACAACAATTTAGCCTATGTAGTTTGATAAGATGAGTTAGTTGGGTTAGACTGATTGATTGAGTGATAAAATTGACTGATCAGTTAGATTGCTGGCTAAAATTTGTTAATTTCATATAATTTTGTACGAGTCTTTACTATATTTTTATTTCAAATTAGAAAAACTAAGAAAAAAAAAAAAATCTAAACCTTAAATCCTAAACTCTAAACCCACCCTTATACATAGCCATCCTTTAAAAAATAAAAAATAAAATTACAACAGCCCAACAAATAAATAAATAAATAAAAACAACCAAACTAACACAACCCAACAAATAAATAAAAAAAACTAACACAGTTTTAAAGAAAAAGTAAAAGAAGAAAAAAAAAAAAAAAAAAAAAAAATTGAGCCACATTCGAGGCCTCAATCTTTTTTATTTTTTTGTGAGAGAATAGTGTAATGATTATACATTGAATATGATATTTTATTTTTTTAACTAAAATAATATATTTTATCTTTTGTGATTAAAATAATCA